TATATGAAAAATACTGCGCAATGTTTATAGGTGAAAATGAACAGTGATTTCACCTACCCCATCACTGTCCAAAGTTCATCGCGCAATCACTATTGTCCGATAGTATTTCATTTTTTAATTTTTTTCGACAAATCGGAATGACTTGAAATTTGGAACGTGTATTCATAAAAAATAGGGGAATATTTGAAAAATATAAAAAAGGAATTTTACATGAAAAAATTAACCAAAATACCCCCGAAACTTTTAGGGAGTATTTTGGTCAATTTTGATTTTCACGGATAATTTATTTTTATATTTTTATTAGATGCGCCTCAGTAAGATATACATGCCCTCTAAATTTCAGGTCATTCTGATTTATAAAAAAAATAAAAAATAAAATACTAACAGACAATCATGACCCGCAATGAAACTTGGACGATGATGAGGGTAGGCGAAATCACTATTTATTTTCGCCTATAGGTGTTAGGAAGACTTTTCCTATCTATCTATATATATATGGAAATGATCTAATGCAACAGTTGTATAGTAGTATAATGCAACCACACATCTAGAAAACCATACTTTTGGCATTTGTATGACCCTAAGTTTTTTAGATACATTATTTTCATCCTCATAATCAATCCTGCGGAAAAAAAAAATTTCAATTTGCACCCTAGATATTGTCAAAATTAGTACCCATCCAACAATGAATCTCGACCATCCATTTAGTGAATTTCAAGATCTAAGCCATAACAAATTCAAAATCACTTCTTTAAAAGAATGATTATTAAAGTGTGACTAAATAATGATTATTAAAGCCTTGACAAAATACTTCTTTTTTGGTAAATATAGAGACTTTATCAAGAGATCATCAACACATGCAACACATCATATTATAAACATTGAAGGATGATCACTTAGACTGAGTTCCATCAGAATACTCCCTTCGTACTTATATATTTGTATGAGCCACACCTATCTCTCGTGTTTCATACTTTAGCTCAAAGCCCTCGATCAAACCACATCTCCATGTGTATTACTACCTTAAGTAGATTACACTCAAGCACAATTAGGTACAAAAACACAGGGTATTCAAAATTCAAAACTATCTCTTTCAAATTTGTTAGCACCTATAACCTAATGTCCATACACTCCAGACATGTTTATAAAACAAATAGCCAAAAAAGCGAAGAAGTATATGAAACTTAAAAATAAAGGGTTACTGAATCATCTTTCCCTATATAACCTTACCAAGTAATGTGTGATAAATTTCATATCTCAAAACCATATAGTGTGGTACCTGGGCTTTATCGATTTATTGATTTACTTGTTTGACAATATTTTGTGATCTTGGAAAAGCACGCAACTGATGGAGAATATATTGTTCATCGGTTTCATATGTCATGAAATGACCATCTCTTCGGCACTTGGATTGTCCCTTTATCACACCATGAAGATATAATATTTTTCATCCCATCATTTCAAATATCACAAATTCGATTCTCCTACTAATCTTTAGCATTTATTTGCTATCATCAAGTCTCTTTATATATCCCTTTATATCCATTTATCTAAAAAAAACCAAGATGTTTTTAAAGGTATTGTGTTTCTTATTTTTTCTACTATTTTTCAGATCGAATACTCTTCATATGGACTGTCATTTCTCATCAACTCTGCATTACGAAGATTTACTATAATAAACCATAATCATGGCACATTATAAAACCTTTTAAATGAGCCCTAAAAAGGTCTCCATAATTAGGAATAAAAAAATGTGCCTTAACATGCCACATATTTTAATTTACTGCATAATAAAACATGAGCAACCAATGATAAAAATATGATATCTCTCAACTCATAAAGAATTTATTTATACTTTTCTTCAGATAAATAAATAAGTGACATTCACATCACAAAATAAATTATACTGCAGAATTCTAAGATGAACATTATCCAGTAAACTTGTTTTTTCTCTCTACTCTTATGGAGTTTCTCTTTTAAACCAATTTTGTTTGAAAGTAGACATATAATGGTAATACATATATTTCCACAAGCCTCATATCACTATGTTAAGTAGGCTTGATAAATATAGAAATTCATATCTCAATGAAGAACATACCAAATTGTAAAAAATTCAGGATGACCTCTATTCAATCCAAAAATTTTATTCCTCTCTTTCCATAGATATTTGTCTCTCAAATAAATTTTATTAGAAAATAAACTCAGAATGGAAGTTTAAAAACTAGGTATGGGCCATAAAACATTCTGTTAAGAATATAAATAAAATCATGACTTTCAAATCATTAAAATAATTTTTGTTGCAGAAAATAATACTTGCGCATCCTTCAATTAATAGACTGTATCTTTCAAACCACAAGGAATTTCTTGATGAAACTATTTTTGTTTGAAAGTGGACTCAATTTGATGAGTTACAATCAAATTTCAACTAGAAATAAAATCATATAATTTGTGGGAAAAATCACAAAACTCAATAGAAAGTTCCTGGATTTTGCAGGGTCATGAGTCCATAACTCTCAATTCCCTTAGGATCTCCCACTAAAAGTTTTCAGGTAGATCTTATTCTCAAAGACACAATATCATTGAAGTATGTAATAGAAAAATATATCATTATCTTCTTCATATCACTACTCCAAAATAGCCCAGAATACTTATTTTGCGTAGTGCCTTTTTCCGTGTTTGAATATTCCAATAATTATTAACCGTTGGTGTATTATGTGACCACAAAGGTCATTAACTTTCTTATATCTCATTCTCAAACCTGATCTAGACTCAATAAAGATATAGTACAACTAATAGCATCAAGTATCAATAACTTTGATACTAATGAAAGAAAGACTAATGCGATCGTACTGGGGAATATATTTTATTTATTTTTCTTTTTTTCTCCTATTTTCTTTGCTTTTTCTTTTCTTTTGGCAAATATCACTTACAATGAGTCTTATTACAATAACTATTGCTTTAAAGAAAAATAAAACTAACAAATCCAATATCTTAAAAACCTTGATGCCATTAAACCAATTTTTTTTAAACAAAGAAAATATCCACTTAGGAATATAAAGACAACATAATTAATTATGACAAGAAACAAAAACAGAGTTTCAGATATTACCTCAACCGGGCTTATTACACCTAACACCAAACCACCATCATCCGATAGTACGGGATCAACCTTCAATTTCAACCGGTAAAGCAAATTTAGATCAATCCCTCTAATGGAACTATGAACTTCTTTATCACAAATCTCAACTTTTATGTGAATCCCCTTAGCAACCTAATTTGAGAGAAATATTATTTTTCTAATAATATAATGTGTTGTATGTGATAATGATCTCTTGATAAAGTCTTCATATTTGCCAAAAAGAAAGTATTTTGTCAAGGATTTTAATAACAATTATTTAGTCATGTTGTTTTTGGATAAAATTATAAGATAGTATTTATGATTTGTTTTTGTGGCCATGAAGTTGACTTGATAGGAAATTAAAAGTGAATGTGGTAAAATGATTTATGAAGGCTAAGCATATATTTTAAAATTAAATTGGAGG